GATGTCCAAGAAATCGGGCAATTAAGGAAGTAAGTGATAAAACCATGGCTCGACCTCGCTCCTTCTCCTCCCCAGTTCGCGTCAACGTAGGTGTGTAACGGTGTATCGACTGTCGTGTGAATAGGTTTAATTTTGAGGGACTTAGTTCCGGAGGTGTTTAGATACCTTACTAAGTGTTCAATCGCATCCCAATGCTGACGTCTTGGATCGGCTGAGAATCTTGCAAGATAATTAACTGCGTAAGTAATATCTGGACGAGTTGCTACAGATAGGTAATTAAGGCTACCTATAGCTGATAAGTATCGTTCGGAGTCGACTTTCGCTTCATCTTCGAGAGGTGATGTTGGAATCTTCTGAGGATTAATTGGTGTTTTTACTCGCCGGTCATCAGGTAAGAATGATTGCAATATCTTCTTCGTCAGGCCAGGTTGAGATAATGTGAAATTCCCATCCTGGTCACGGCTGACGTTTACGCCTACTATTTGATCTAAGCTCTTTTCCCACTTGATAAGTAGTTTCTTCTTTAATGCTTCGTACACCTCTTGTAAGACGTCTTCTGATGAACCCGTTACTCCCCCGTCATCACTGTGAAGCCAGATTATGCAAGTATCCCCGTTTCTTCGATAGACATATAAGGATTGATCGTATTGGCTGGATTTAAAACCAATTTCAGATAGAATCGAGTCAAAGTGTTTCCACCAGCACCTAGCTCCTTGCTTCGTGCCGTACAAGGCTTTCAAGGCTTCTAATATCTGACCTCTTTCACGTTCTTCACACATGTACCCCGTTGGTAAAGAGAAATAAATCTTCGAATCGATGCCGCTATGCAAGTAAGCTGATGAGATGTCGAAAGCATGGACAGGCCATCGCTGTCGGGCTGCGATTGTTAACATTATTCGTAATCCAGCGAACGTGGCGGTGGGTGCGAAAGTTTCGGTATAATCAAGTCCTTCTTTCTGCTTGTAACCTTTAGCTACAAGACGAGCCTTGAATTTCATGGGATTACCGTCGTCATCGAATTTCTTGTAAGTAAAAACCCACTTGAGACCAATTGGTGAGAACGTCTTCTTTCTATTGACCACTTTCCAGACCCTCATGGTCTCCATCATCTTCATTTCAGCATCACAAGCTGCCTTCCACTCTTTACCATGGGGCGAGCGCATTGCCTCTGAGAATGATCGTGGAGGATTGAGTATTTTTAGATAAGCTTGACCATCCAGAGCGTGCTGTGCAGCAACATCCTGTTGGTCAATACGAGTTTCAGTTGAGAAATCACCTAATTTAAGAGCATTAATGATATGTTCAAGGCGTCCTTTGTTCGGCGGGTTGTTGTTTAGAATTTTGTTTAGCGAGTCAGATGATGTATAAGGTTCTTTTTCTGGAGTCTTCTGAGTCGGTGTAGTCTCGATTGTTTCGTAAGGGAATCGCGCAATCGCGGATTGAATTAATGTCTTCGAAGATGGGTCGTAGAACAGCCACCCTTTGCCACCGTCTATATATCCCACCATGAGACATTGTCGAGCACGATCTTCTAATTTTCCTGGTGCACGTTGGCCAGTGTGAACGTGAACGAAAGCTTTGCTTCCAAAGGTACGCATAATATCCAGCTGGGGCTTTCTGCCAAAGAATAGTTCATAGGGAGTCTTTTCATCAGTGACAGAATTTGGTACGCGATTATGAATATAGACAGCAGTCAGGTAAGCGAGGTGCCAGAACTGTTGAGGAAGTTTTGCTGACATTAACAACGTCCGCGCAATTTCCCCAATGGTCCTATTGAGGCGTTCGGCGATTCCGTTCTGTTCAGGTTCGTAAGGGTTGGAGAATTCGTGTTGTATCCCCTCATTTTTCAGCCAATTGTTTAAGCTATTACTGATATATTCTCCACCCCTATCCGTTCGCACCTTCTTGACTTTAATTCCCGTCTCACGTTCCCATTGCTTGATGGTATTCATGAAATGTGTCGGAACTTCGGATTTGTTGTTAATGATGACTGCTTTTGAATAGGTGGATGCAGCATCTCGAAAAGTTACCATTAGTCGCTCACCAGTCAAGCAAGGGATGAAGGGTCCTGCAACGTCGGATACGACGACGTCCAAGAGACCAATCTCACGGTTCGTGCTATTCAAAACTCGACGTCTAGTGCTTTTGCATCTCATGCAATCATCACACAGAACGGAGGCAGGCAGGGCATTGTCCGGTAAGCCATATTCATCTGCTTTATTAAAAAGCTTCTGAATCCGTCTCATTGCCACGTGCCCGAAACGGCTATGCCACATCTTAGAAACAGCTTCATTTGATTTCATTGCAGAGATAGAAATATTGGGTGATAAACAAGAAGAAGAGGGAAGATGACGGGCTTGTGGATGTATAAACCACCTGCGATTCTTGTGTTTTGCAGTGATGATCTTCCCATTCTTCAGCTTCAGTTTCATGTCGTGTTTCGAATTCATTGAGATTGTGGCACCCTGTGCAATCAGGGCACCAGGAGATATGATTGTCGAAGTTGCTGTCGGGCAATAGTATACGTTCTTTATTGTCGTTTCATCCCCATCATCCGCGGTTACTGTGACATCGCCTTTACCAATGATCACGGCGTTTGAGTCATTAGTGGCAGTGTGGATTGGAATTGGATTGGGGAGTGATTGATAATTGAGTAAAAGGGATCTAGAGTTGCTTACAGCGTCCGTAGCACCTCCATCGAATAAGTATTCGGTAGGCACATCGCTTTCGTCATCAGGTAACTTGATACCATCAGAGCTCCAATCGATGGCTGATGCATGGACTTGATTTGGTTCAGTTGTAGAGCTTTCGATCGCATTAACCCTAACATTTCGTGGTTTGCTGAATCGTTGATTGTTCGCTCGTTGAGATGATTGCGAAGTATTTGAGGGAGGTAGTTGTTTGTGAACATTGGGATATAACGCATCTAAACTATACATATAGTTGCATTCTTTCACTCTACGCCAGTCGTTGAAATGTGCAGCAGTTCGTTCGAGGCCCTTAGGTATGTCAGGGCAATCGTGGTAACTGTGGCCGAATGTTGAACAGAAGAAACATTGAGGTCTTCCGGCTTTAACTGCGGGTAGTGCTGATTGCGGTACGGTGACAGGTCTGTCAACAGAGGCCCAGCGTTCACTGTCATCGGCAGTGATCGGCATTGGGCCGTCCGTCCAGTTGATTCTGCGGCTGGGCGTTCTGGTAGTGTAAAAACGTTGGGTTCGATTCGATGGTGGTTGAAAACGTTGTGGCGTATTGAATTTAACTGCGTTCACCGACATAGCATCGATTGAGGCTGCTAAGTTGGTCATTGACGCGGTTTCAGCAGCAATCTTCTCTCTAGCCATGTGGATTTGAATCACATTTCGTATTTCGGTGGAGGTGAATGTACCAGATTTCGTTTCGAACTGAGCATCAAGCTCTTTGTTGACAGCTTTGGTGGTATCGGCGGCTAGATTGAGTTGATATAGTAATCCAGCGAGGGAATCGAAAGAGCATTTGAACCCACTAGATTGTAATTCTGAAAGTAATGAATCGATTTTCGAGGTATGCTCAAGGATATCGTCCTCTGAGGGATTAGGACGAAGGGAAACGAGCTTTTGAAAAAAGCAAATTGTGCAGTTCTTCCACCCTTCTGAAAGTGAGTTTGTAATACTTTCATGATATCACTAGCTGTCATGCAAGGTCGAATAATTCGTCGTAAACTATTATCGATGGTGTTTTCGCATATGGTCATGGCGGCACGATTCTGTTCGCGTTTCAAACGATTGTTGATATCGCTGATCGCTAATGGTTTCGTCCAGTAATCTTGCAGACCGGTCGTTCGATAGATAGCACGTGAAGTTTCTTCACGCCAATCAACAAAGTTCGAACCATCTTTCAGGAGATGGTCGAAGGTTGTCACGTTTTGAACATTTTTCATCTGATCTTTGAGTTCGTCCAATTCCTCTTTTTCGTTGATAGACAGGACATTGTCCGTCATTTTCTCTTCGGAGGGCGTCATCGTTTCGTTTTTCGTATTTCGAGGTATTTGTAAGCTTGGATGTATGATTGGTTTGAATTCGGAAGCTTCTTTCGTACGTAATGATGATAATTGAGAAACAGAAGATATAGATGAGTTGGTGGGGGATGATGGTAAATGAGGTGGTAGATCAGGAGATGAAAGATTCGTTTCGGAAGGTTTCGGTTTCGAACGTTTGATTGGCGGTTGTGGTTCTCCAAAGTCAGTATTTCGTGTCTTCATGCGATATTCGTTTTGGTTCTACTCGTCACTGGCGGCGCAGGCTCATAACCTATAGTGAACAAAGAAGAAAGTGAAACGAATAAGCATAACGAAAACTAAGGGAATCCACTTAATGATGTATTTCAATATACCTATAGTGAACAAAGAAGAAAGTGAAACGAATAAGCATAACGAAAACTAAGGGAATCCACTTAATGATGTGGAATTCCCGATTGGAGAACAACTTGAGTATATGAACTACTTCCACGTCACTGTATGGCTGTGCCGCAGTCGTGTACATGTCTCCATCTACAACAAAGATCATGTCTTGGTATTTGATTCAAGATTATGATGTGCTCAAATCGATTTCAATCTTGGGATTTCCTTAGACTTAGATCATTATTTGGAAATAACGAAGTTGGTGGATGATTCATTTAGTTCAGTAGGATAGCTTGGAATACTGATTGTATGGGATGAGTTTCTTTTCTTTTCTATTTGATTGTGTGTGTGTATTTTGTTCTCATCTATGGCTCTCTTCCTTTGAGTGTTTATGTGTTTATGATTCTTTATATGTTGTGGATAGAATCAAGAAAAAAAACATTTTTGTCAAACTCATCCATTCACAATCCGAGTGCTTCACGTGATGTCCTTCCAGCATGCAGGTTATAAGTGTGGTTTCTTTAGCAGCAAATAGCAGGATCCTATATTCTTTGTATTTTATTGCTTCAAAAATCAGACAAAAGGAAAATGGGGATTCAAAACACTTTTGAGTTAAAAGAACTGGTCAATATGAGTCTCGAACTCATGACTTCCGCATGGCCCCCGCAGGTGATCCCGACAGGAACTCGTATTAGTACGGCACTCTAACCAACTGAGTTAATCGACCGGTACCGGATCGGAGCTTTCTGAGTGTTACAATGCCAACTCTCAATATTAATACAGATTTATTGCTACAAACCAGGATGCAGTGGTTTGGTCAAACTGCTGAGTTAGCTTCCCTGTCCCTAGCCCTGGGCAAGGTCTCCAAAGATTGATTAGGATGTCTCTTTCCCCCGTGTCCAACCTCAAAGCCTCTTCAGGTCATCCGGACCGGGTCGGAGCCTGACTTGAAACTCTTTCAAAGTCTCGGTGGAATTCCCGGGCAGCCAGGCTATATGTAGACCGGGGCACTTGTTGAGCTCCGCTTGATGTTTGAATGTTGAATCAAGTGAAGTTCGCCAAGACATAAAAGTGACAAGCGGAACATATGTACTTAGTGAGAGGATGAATTCACGTCAATCAAATTGAAAAAAAACTGGCAGGGTGAAGATCTGTTGGATATGATAAGCGGAATTTAAATTTAAATGAAGCGTGAGAGAAAATCAAGCAAAAGGGAATTGTGATTTAAATTAAGACGAGTTGAAGGATATTTATGGTTACTGAAGAATTGAAACAAGTTTAATCAGACTGAGTTGAGTGCAGCAGCAATTGTAGTAGTAGAACCGTTAGAGTCTCAAAGCTGAAGAAGTTGAAAAGTGAAGGAAGAGACAGAACATTAATCTTGATATCGATTTTCATCCTTCAAGAAATTCAAACTTGGTCAACAAACTATTTACGATTCATCTCAAAAACCATTTACAACATAAATCATGATCAACTCAGCAAACACTATCGGATTTGAATCACATCGATCAAAGTTTGGAAGAAAGAAAACTACGAAGCCCATTCAAACTGATAATCTATCTACATCTGATCAAAGAAGTTCCTCATCAATCCTAAACAATTCCAAAGCAATTCATTCATTCAATTCAACAAGAAGCACTACCAGAGGGATTAACAGATCATGGAGAAGACAGTCAAGAAGAAACAGAAACGGAAACGGAAACGGAAACGGAAACTGAAGAACTTCATAGTCAAGAACCAATCTCAGCTAAAGTCGAACCATTTCCCTCATCCTCTTCATCTTCAATGATTTCAGAAGAAGAGGAAGAATGAAGAAGAAGAAGATGATGATGATGATCGACAACAACATCAGAAAAGCATTGATCGTTCACCTGCATCATCGCTCAATTCATCTCAATCACCAAGTTCATCATTCCAACCTATCAATCAACTTTTACAATCTTCAAACAATCATCTCACCTCACCTTCTGAAATTTGGAAATCAGTGGCTGGTTCGAATGAATCTTATACATCACCACCAAGTCCAGTTGAGTAAATTTACTTATTCTTTTTCTTGATTGATCAAACAAACTAATCTCAAACTTATTCTATATCAGTCAACCTATGCTACAGATCCATTTCATTCATCTTTATCTCAACGAAAAACCAGTAGTTCTCTTGTGAATACTGCCATCACTTCATTGGATAGTGTAACAGATCCAGATTCAGTCCCAGAGGATCAACAACATCAACTCCAACATGAGATTCCAATGAGTCATACTCATCATTCTGCTTCTTCATTCTTTAGACGATCAATCTCAGCTCCATTCTTAGCCCCAAGACCCAATTCAACTGATTCAGCTAATCGATTGAAGTTCGATTCACGAAACTACTGTTACGCCACCTGTCATCAATGAATTAACCCCCGACGTTTCATTATCACATCATTCCTTAGAAGATAATCAAAGAAGATGGACCGGAAACTTTTATCTTTGGGTTTATGACCATCTCTCGACTACCAATTCATCTGGACCCGGTTCACTTACCAGTCTATCTAAAAACTTTTTCACAAATCATAATTTACCAACAGCTACTTCTACAATAGGAAAAGTTGTAGTAGGACAAAAGAAACGTACCAAGAACTTGATCGGTTTAAGCAAAAGAGAATCTACATCTCAATTATTAGATGCCACTTTTCCACTCTCTCCAAATTCTACAGTTGGATTATCTGAACAGATTGATTCGGCCCAAGATAGAGCTGCGATTGATCCTACTCATATCTCTCAATCTAATCTGGCTCGTTATTCAAATCCTCAAACAAACACTAGGTCTTCAAAGTCAGATTTGTCAAAGACCAAGAAGAAGATCTCTGGGTTAACACCCTCTCCGAGTAGTGCTGCTCTTCTTTCACAACTTACCCTTGGTCCTGGTCAAGCGATGAATTTAGATGGTATAGGCGCTGGTCAATGGAAAATGGTTCAAGGTGTGATCACAGAAGATGGTTACTTTACTCTTTATACAAACGTTTGTTTTTCTATCACATATATCTCACTTTCATCGAAATTGAAGACAGATCCAACCTGATGACGAATTTGGACCAACAGGATAACGTGATGATTCAACGAATTTATCTACCTTCTTACCGCCGTACAGATATCAGATTAGTACATCAATCTATCTTTGGTAGGATGCATTGCGGTGTGATCTCAAGGCGAACCACTTCGAGTACTTCGAGTGCACATATGACACCTCCACTAACAGTCTCAACATCAAAGTTAAGTAACAGTAATAACAATAGTAGTTCTAAATCACCTCCCCTTCGATCGCCAGCCGTGAAAACCTTTTCGATCGCATCTAAGCGTCAACAAAACCAACCTAGCTCACCTACTCAACCATTACCTTGTATCACCACCGTCACTACTACTACTACTACCACTAGTACATCAATCAGCCATCATCCTTCACCAACCCCCGTCACAGATTCCTTTCAAGGGAGTTTATTGATCGCATCAGCACCCGAATATTCTATTTATGTCTGTATGCCGAACTCGGTGTTGCTAGAAGCATGGCTAGTGATTTGTAAATGTTTTAGTAGACCCGATGATTTCAGACACCTCTACCCACGTCCGCCTCCATCCCCCACCTCTCTCACTCGCCCAAATGGAAGTCTCGAACACAAATCCAATTCACCTAGATCTAGAGTGAATAGTATGACAGACGAAAAGAGTTTTAGTTTAGGTAGTGGAAGCGGAAGCGGAAGTTTAGGAGGTGTCGTACCTGAAAGAGTAAGGATTTGGCGAGGAGTGGAAATCCAATTATTAGAAGGAAGGAGGTTAGGAGAACATCGAATTTTATTCAATCAACCACCCAAAGTTCCATCACCGCCACCATTACCTACCTCAACTCGATCCCATGACGAAACCAAAACAAGATCGATTGTACGAACGATGATTGAAAAAGAAAACACAGGAGAGATTCACATTGATCAAACGGTTTCGAATGAGAGTTTAAAAGAACAGTTTAAAGAACCGTTCTCGGCTGGGATGACCCCGGCTTTGGTCCCTGGTCCTATGAAAGTTAAGTCTCAGGCTAGTTCTTTCGGATACCGATGGGGGTGAATATTTTTATTTTGTGGAATTGATTTGGGATAAAGAAGTGGTAGGTAGAAGTACCATTAAAAGGAACTCTTCACCTTTTTGGAGAGAAGATTATAAACTTTCGTAAGTAATATTATCTTTGATTCAACAGAACTTAGATTGAGATTGCTTTTCTTTCTAGGGATCTTGGATCATTTCAAAACTCCTATGATTTTAAATGTAGTATCAAATTAAGAAATCATCAAAGGCTCCGATGTGGTTAATTGGAAGTAGTGAGATTGATTTGAAAACTCTCAAGAAAGATGTGCTACATGAGATCTGGGTACCGGTCAAAGCTATAAATGGAAGAGCTGGGGTTTTAGGTGAATTAAATATTTCAATTATTGTCTTTGAACAAATCGTTTTGGCTGAAGGAGAATATAAAAAGATGATGGATGTGAGTTTCTGGATCGTTTGTCCTTCTGGGAGGAGTGAAATGAAGGATTACTGATTTTTGTTTGATAGATGCTGAACGATGATGAAGATATTGATTTACCTTATGCTTTAGCTCATCTAGCAATAGGAGAATTAGATAGATTATCAGAATTGTTAATGAGACTATATCAGTCATCTGGAAGATTATTATTGAGATTAGCACAAATGGCCGCAATCGAAGTAGACGGAGATGAATCAAGCGCATCGATTTTATTCAGAGGAAACACATTATTGACTAAAATGTTAGAAGGATATATGAGATTGATTGGAGGAGCGTTTTTAGAATCATCCGTAGGACCGATTATCAGAAGGATTTGTCATTCGAAACTGGAACTTGAAATTGATCCGAGTAAAATGAAGAATTCGAAAAACTTGAATGAGAATGGGAGATCATTAGAAACATTAGCTAAAGAGATTTGGGAATCGATTTACTTGAATCGATCTAAATGTCCTGGAAGATTGAAAAGTTTGTTTGGACGAATTCAATCACTTGTGACTATCTCATATGAAGAACCTGAGATGAGATTGACATGTGTTTCAGCCTTTATCTTTCTAAGGTTCTTTGTACCATCTATTTTAAATCCAAGATTATTTAATATAGTTCAATTTCAACCTGAACCCAAATCACAAAGAACATTAACCCTTCTAGCTAAAACCTTACAAGGCTTAGGGAACTTAACTTTATTTGGTGTCAAAGAACCCTTCATGGCGATCATGAATCCGTTTATCAAAAACCATTTAGAATCATTTCGAGACTATATCAAATTTATTTCTACCAATGAAATTGATGAAGGGATTGGAGGCAAAATCGAATGGACAAGTCAGGAATTTGAAGGCTATGGATTACCGATCGCTCTTAGGAGTTCTTTACCTCATCAAGTTAGAGATGGGATTCCTCTTTTACCTCATTTATTGGATCCGGTTAAAGATTGTTCTTTATTAGCTTCTTTAATTGGCAAATCTATTGCAAATGATAATCCCCACCACCACCATCATCATCATCATCATGGACCACATTTGAATTCAGCAGGGAATGTTGAAAGTAAAGTTAAATTTGTAAAGATTTGTAAAGAATTAAAAGCGAAATCTCAAAGAAGGTATTCTAAAATCATTGGAAATGAAAATTCGATTTCATTAGGATCTACGGGGATTGGAATTGGTGGGAATCAGGATT